ACACGTACAGAAGATGTATATATATAAAGATTATGACTAAATTTTATTAATTTTGTTTTAAAAAACCGTTTTCAGGGCATTAAAAATAATTTTGTTAATATTTGGTAGTGCTTAAAACATTATAATATAGTTTTTTTTTGCAGAAAACCAAACTGTAATATAATTCACAAATAAAAAAGTTTCCGTACAAAAACTTGATTTTGATCGGTCTGTCTGTATTCCAGCTATAAGCTACACTGATCCGATCTGAACAATTTCTTGTTTGTGTAATTGGTGCAAAAATTACTTGTTGGTTGATATATGTAGCTTTAGCGGTTATGGGGCGGGACCACGCCCACTTTTAAAAAATGTTTAGCCCACATTTGTACCTTGCTTCTGTGATGCCCTGTACCAGACTACAGTTTTGTATTTTAATTTAGTGCTTAGTTTTGGAACGTGGCAGTGGTCCAATTACGCCCATCTGCAATACCGACCGAACCTGGGTGCTAGGTAGCAAGTTTTATCAAGATATCTGAATTTTTACTCAAGCTATCGTTAGTACGATTAGACAGTAAATCGAACTTCAACTCGTTTCGTCATCCTGATCATTAATGTATACTTAATCCCCTATGTCTATCTGGATTAGTTTTAGGTGACATAAACAACCGTTAGGTGAACAAAACTTTTATACTCTGTAACAAAAGGTACAAAAACGTACTATGAGATGTATTATATTATATAATAAATACACAATATGAAATTTATAAAAAACTACATTAAATTTCACTTAATTTAAAAAAGGTGACAACACCGTAAGAAACATTTCAGTGAAAAGCTTTATAAAAACTCACTTGCACAACTTTAAGCATATTGAGATATATTTAAAGTTCATGTACCTACATATTGTATGTTAAGTGGCAACCCTGCACAGAAAAATAATCTAGCTCAATTAAGTTTATTTATAATATGTACTTAACTACTAAGTAATTAATTTCAATAAAAATTTAAAACTTTTAATATATTCTTATGTAAATGTGGCAACCCCCGCCGCAAATTTTCACATGAATAAACTTTTTGAAAATCACTTGTCATTAATGGTCTATCATTATGTAATATATTATATTTATGTTATCAATTCAAGTTTTTTGAAAAGCTCACAACCCACCATTTCCACTAACTCATGCGCCACATCCCTTGGGAATTCATTTAGTACCGTAATCATTGCTGATATGCGATTGAATTCCAATTGAGGCAGTGCTTTCATATGCATTCACCACCACAAATTCCAACTAAATGTGTACGCTTAAGCGCTAATGACAGCAAATACTAACACAAACTCATGTACACACACACACATACCCACACATGCATGGAGGTACTTAGCAATGCGCTTGCATTCACAAACGACAGCGAACTATTGACATTCATTTGATGGAATCGTTTGGTTGCTCCACATATATGTGTGTGACTACGAGTCGTAGTTGGTTCGTTCATGTTTGCCTGGTTAAATGGAGGGTTATCGGCATCCAAATAAACAGCATCCCAGTCGAGCCGCGTAGAATGCAGAGCGCTTTACGTTGGCATTCTGTTTGGCGCGTGGAATTTCACTAATAGTCATGGGTAACTGGAAATGCCTTTGCGTCAGTTCGGTATACATATTAAGATAGACCATCAATACTAGACCCTTGGATACTGGTTTTACAGCAAACGCATCGCAGTGCATTGAGAGAAGTAAGCAAAAGGCTCCTTTTGGCGTTTCTACACAAATTTGACCATGTTACACATTGAAAATAGTTTGCACGCATACACATACACACACACACAAATACACGCTTGTGTGGCGTTATGCGCAAAGGGTTATTTAGCTATTTGTGAATATTTATTTGGCAGATCAGAGTGCTAATAAAGACTTCAAACAATCTGACTAATGCCAGTATTAACGAGCGCATGAATTGGGATAATAAAAATCCCACTTTTTACGTGGTTCTGATGCACATTAATGACCTAGATTGGCAAAATTTTAGCGTAAAAGTCTGGAGGAAACATATCAATATTGAACAGAAAGTAGAATAAACTGGTGGACTTAGGTACGTCTGATCAAAATCTACCCAGACTGACAAAAAAAACTCCATTTTCACGTATTTTAATACACATTTTAATTATTTTTAGAGCGCCATTCTCATGATTGTTGGACAGTTTCATTCATAAGCCCACCTCTCGTCCAGTAATGATGCATTTGCTGAATGTAGGATTCTTAGCTACTTTGTCAAGCATCTCTTTTGCTAACTTTGCTCCACATCGTTTTAGTCAAAGATTCAGATCTTTTATTACGAGTCTAGCATTGACCTGCTCCATACCCAAAACATTAACTGAAATATGTTGGGGCGTTCCATAAAAGCCTTAAAATGCTCTACTAATTGACAGAGATGGATAAACGAACCGCATCAGGCAAATTTTCGATGTCTTCACAATATCAAATACTTATGTTCCTGAAAAAGTAGACACCCAGAAATACTTTCGCGACATTTGCAACGAAAAAAATTTCAAGCAAACTTTTTATTCAATTTTTTTCCATGTTAAAAATCGCCACACAAACAAGATGGTATTTTTGTAATATTTAATGCCTTTTATTCATTCTTCTTTGATCCCTTCTAAAATTTATATATTATTTACCCATGGCAATTACTAGCTATTTTATCAATTATATGTATAAAAAGTAACGGTAAATTACACTTTAATAACTTTACTTCAACTTGCATTTTGGGTAACTTCGTTACCGAGTTTGTATTCCAAATACTTTGTATCTAATTATAATGGTATATGATATGAAAAACCACTTCGATTATTTGATAGAGCCCAACTCCTTCGTGGTAGCAGTAGTGCTCATCTCTTAACACCCACCCCCCATTACTATATTAATCCGGCGCTCATTCATTATACTCTGTTCTTACAGCAAGTCAGTAAAAGTAAACTCGCATAACAATCTAGCTCTCTGAGTGACAATTTCAGCTTTTGATTGCTACAACATTTCTCTCTAACTTTTCATTGCGCTAGCAAAAGGGCTAAGCTGAGACGCTGTTAAAGACTTCAAATGAAAACTTTCCCATGCTGGACAAAGTCATCTACATACTTCAGCGCAAATCAAATTTATACATCGAATAAAATTTATACAAGTGCCGAAAAGTGGTACGTGAAAGTGGCAACGCTTCAGCCTTTTACATGCTTCATATGAAGTCAAGAGACATGCAACTGTGGAAAATGTCAGAAATTCACATGCTAAAGTGCATACATATCTACTTATGTACATATGTGTGCAGTGTGTTAAAACAAATACATTCAGATAGCATATTCACACACACATACACGCGTACCTGTTTAGTAAATTGTGTGTGGGCGTGTTTGGCACTCTCAACTCATGCCCTACAAACTCTTTCGTCTTTTATGTGCAGCGAACTGCAAACTGTTGGCACTCAACTTCAAATTCTCATCGAAACTTCAGAACGTTTTGTGGACTTACTACGTTGTAGGAGTAGATATTACACCATGACCGCTGCCGGCAATCCAGCACGAGTTGCATCTATGTGTTAGAAACAAGAGCTAAATAGTGTGAAATTTAGTTCTTCGAAATTGAAATTGTTAAAATTTGCCAAAACTTTCAGTGCGTTGCTGACACAAATATTGAATGTTGAATTTGGTAACAATTGTGAACGACCAATGGAGTTTGCACAAGAAATTGTCATGAAATGAACTTAAAGTTATGCACATATTGGGTGAGAATTTATTGGAAGTTGGCGAGAATTTGCTTAGAAATATATACTAAACACACAGTGAATGCAGTCGTCGTCGGATTAGATGATTACATAACACTCATATTTCAATACAATACTTGGTTTTAGCAGCTGCTGGGATTATAATATTAAGGAAGTTGTTCTACCACAAAAATTATGTTCTACATAAGTAGTTTTGTTTTGTTATTGAAGTGTGTCGTTGAGCTTACAGTATTTGAAGGGATTGTAGACGTGTGCGATACTATATTTTATCGGTTGTAATAAAAATCGGCAAAAAGCTTGTTTTGTTTTCGGAAAATATTTAATTCACATTCAGATGTGATATGCTCTCTCTTTTCATAGAAGCTAAATTTAATAAAAATTTGATCTCAATACCTCTGAAAAATCATAAGCTACCACAGTAATCTCGAATTCGAATCGGAAATTTCAATTATGTTGAGTAGTAAAAGAAGAGTTGATGATCTTGTTGTTGTAGTTCCAGCAAACTTAACTAATCGAATTACACTATCGACTTCAAATAATCTTTGAATAATACATGACAACTGTTCAATATTCTTACAAAATAAATATAAAATGAAAAAAAAACTATAATAGGTATACTTGACAGCTGCTTTTTTAATAGCAGAAAACTGATAAAAATCGTTATTTTGATTTTGAGCAATCAGTTTGTATGGCAGCTATATGCTGTAGTCATTCGATCTGAGCAATTTGTGCACATATTATAGCTTTCAACTTTTGCTCTATCTGTGTCAAATTTCGTTCAGATATCTTGTCAAATAAAAAAGATTTCCATACAAGAGCTTGATTTTCATTGCTCATTTTGCATGGAAGCTATATCCTTAATTGATTTGATATTAGTGATTCCGACAAATAAATAGCTTCTTAAGGAGAAAAAGACGTCTTCAAAATTTTAGATCGATATCTCAAAAACTAAGGGACTAATCGAATAATTCGACTCAGCTCGTCACGCTAATGATTTATGGTACATATATACTAGGTATATACTTTATATGGTCTCCGATGTTTCCTTCTGGGTCTTACAAACTTCGTGGCATACTTAGTTTACTCTCTTTAGGGTATAAATATGGTAAATAACTCAAAAACTTAAGTGTTACTTTTTTAACCTCACGCATTTATTGAGAGTTCAGCAAAATTCGTTTTCTCCTTTCTATACTATTATTTAATTGAAAGTTAACCATCCATTTTATTTTAATTTTCAGATAACAAGTTAAATTACACACAACAATACACTTTTCAAATTCACATTATTTTAAAATACTTTTCTCCTAACGCCAGTCGAGCGTAGTGTGAGTGGCAGAGAGTTGAGAATGTCCGCTATCACGAACCAATTAGTGGCGTTTGCCATTTAACTCTACACCACTTTTAATTAAATTACCAGCTAAGCATACGCTGTGCATCATTTCTCAACATGAAAAGGCATTAGCGCGAAAATTAAATAAAAATGTACTCTTGCAGTTCTCACTTTGTGGTCACGAGCGAAAGGAGCTTGGGAGGCTGTGATTGTGATGGAAATAGAAATTAGACAACACTCCAACAAGTCTAGCGATAACATAAAATTATCAGGTATTTGCAATTTAAAGTGACCTGACTAAATGTATTATGCAGACAGTTTAGCACTAACACAAGAAAGTTCTTCAATAAAAGCATACAACAGGGCGTATGATAAACGTGTTTTTTCTAAAGAAAGCACTAATGCTGTTGAATATTAAAACTAACGTATTACTTAAACTAATTTGATGTTTTGAAGATTTTATATGTTTAAACATACACTTATATTCATTCGTTGGCGTATAAAATTATTGGTTTACTTATCTAATTTGGAACATAACTGACTTGTTACTCTCCTCTATCAATCCATGTGTGGCACATAACTATAGTTATTGTTACAATTTCATCAACTGGTGTAGTCCTGCTATTAGTTGCCACTATTTATTTCATTTCTTCTGATAAGGTATCGAAACCCAATTTGGAACGTGCTTGACGCAATTTTGGTGTATCAAATCAAGCCTGAAACTAGCCAAACTAAATCAAAGCAAATTAGAGGCAAGGAAGCAATTTCAAGCAAATTTTAAAAACGTAGTTTTGAGAAAAGCTTGTATTAAGATGAATACTTTAGAAGCCTGGTACTCACAAAAAATTTTAAATAATTACAATATTTAGATGTTTAGTCTTTTAATTTTAAAGGCACTGCCTATCGAAATATCCTTATTTGGGTTTGTAATAATTTGTGTTTTCCTATGCGTTAGTTATACTATGTTCGCACCGAATTGAAATCCTCTTGAAAACACAATTTGTGGATTGTGGAACCAAAGGCGTTCTGATCGACATTGTGTGTTTTCGATGAGTTTTCATTGACAGTTCACACACCTATTTGTTTACATTTGTTATGTACCCTACAAGAACAGTGACGGTCATCTGATGGGTAATATGACAGTCATAGCTGAAAAAATTTTGTCAGCGCGCAGAACAAAGTTTCTATCATTTTCTTAAGATCCTTGGTTTCTTTTTGTTTAAAAATAAATATTGTCAGTTATGACTGAAACGCTATCAGAAGTGAAAAATTATTTTGCGCAGTAGATAATATAATTTTCTTAATAAATTTCAAACTTTTAATCAAAATTAGTTATAATAATATACTTAAATATAAAAAGGAATGCAACAAAAAATATAATAAAATATGAAAATATAAAAATAAATTTTCACTTGATGCCATATCCTCCTCTCAATAGCTCTGCGTACGTCTTTCTCCAATCAGTGGATAGAATTTAAAAATGCAAATGTAAATTAACAGTACTGACATATCAAATGTGTGCGTATTGGTGAACCCATTAGCACTTTCTTGTAGAGTACGTTTAAGCCAATTATGGAATGTAAACAAATTGTCAACTGACATTTAGGGCTGGCAAAATATGTCTTCTAATAATATCGATTAAACTAGAGCAGGCACCGATTATAATGAGTGAAATGTAAGTTTTCAAGGGGTTTTCAGCGAAAACTGTGTTTTCGTTTGACAGATTTTGTATGGATAAAAACACAAGTTTTCGCGTGAAAACCTCTTTTGTTTATGAAAATACGAATAATTACACTCCGAGTTGATTGCTAATAAATTAAGGAATCTGGTTTTTGACTCCAACTACCAGTAACATGAAACTAGTTTATTTATCCGAAACCTCAAGCGTTATATTATTGAATTACCTTAAGTCGTGGCACTCAGGTTACACTAGTAGAGCAAATGAATGCCAATTGCGGTAAAATGTTTTTTTTAGAAACTAAATCCCAAAAATATTTTGACGGAAATTAGGTGAGCTCTACGAACTATCTACCCACATCCGTGTGAAGGCGAATTCTATAGGTTTCTTTGAGAATTGTAGCGCAGCTTGTAGCATTCAGAAGGAAACGTCGAAAACCCTATGAACTATATATAAAAATGATCAGTGTGACGAGCTAAGTGGATTTAGCCATGTCCGTCTGTCTGTCTAGATATATGCAGTTTTAAAGATACCGAACTGAAGTTTCCCACTGGTCAAAACAAGTCCTTGTGTGTATTAAAACTTTTTTTTTTAATTTGAGAAGATATCTTCACGAAATGGCTACAACGCTACAAACTCTAAAGGGACTTAATCAGACTACTGTAGCATACAGCTGCCATACAAACCGAACGATCGTAATCAAGTCCTTGTATGGAAAACTTTTTTATTTAGCGAGATGTCCCCACGAAATTGGGCATAGAGTATTCTTACAGGCAGCGCTACAAGCTTCAAAAAAGATCGAATCGGATCACTATAGCATATTGATGCCATACGAATTGACAACCTGAAGTTAAGCTCTTTTATAGCAACTTTTTTATTTGTAAGGGGTATTCTAGCTTCAGTGCAACCGAAGTTAACGTTTTTTCTTCTTTCTTACGACTAGTTGCCAACCTGAGAAAATACTGCATCAGAAACTTATTGGTTTATCAAGTTCCTATAATCGATTCAATAAGTTTAGAGTAGACTAGCGCTAACTTTTTGACCTTGCATTCAGTCCTGAAATCATTGATACAAAACCGTAAAACGACAAACAATTGTATTGACCACACATCGTCCTATAAAAATAAAATAGTTATTTCAGCGCACACATACACACCCAAATTTCCAAGCAACTTGTGCGCCAATCCTTTAACAACAACAACAATGCAACTTTGTAACCAAATGCATATATTTTGTAACAGCAACAATAATAGTAACAACAACCAACATAACACCTTAGCCGCTCGGAAGCCATGCAAGGACATCGCACTTAACTCTAATCCTGATTGATTTTAATGCACTTTACCTATGCAAATGTGACTACACTTTATGTCTTTCTTGCATTCCATTTTTCTAGCTTTAACTGCGACTTTGCGCTTTGCTTTGTTTGCTGCATGACGCTGCCGCTACTGCTGTTTGAGCCAAAAAGCGAATTCTTCGTGCATTTGTAATATTAGACTTAATCGGATGAAATGCTAAACGAATTTTTCATAGCCATTAGCAAAGTATAGTAACGGTATTATGCACCTATTGTCGTCTGGCGAACACACAATGTTCGCTCGATGCATATGTATGTGTGTGCTGCTTGCTGGATTAGGGTTGTCAAATGTCTCGCAAGCAAGCACTTATTATAGATAAAGGGGGTTGAGCCCCCTCATTGGTGTTGTGAGCGTGTTTATTTGTCGCCGATTTTAGCAAAATTCAGCTCGGTTAATTTCGCCAACATTGTTAGCTAAGCGAGCGTTGCCGAGTTTAATGTGTCACAGCAGTTGCATGTAGTTATTGCAAAATTACATACATTTATACTCATACATGTATGTATATGTGTATGTGTGTCGTTTCTGCTTGTGTAAACCTGCTGCTAAACTTAATACTGCGCAAATGGCTGTAGTTCAGCACCGGGCGGGTGTGCTTTGTTGATTACACCACTTACTTTTTCCGGCAAATAAAAATACACCCACACACACATACACATTCAAACATATATGTATGGTATACGACAGGTATTTGTAATTCTACTATTCATTGCTCGAAATTACACGCCGAGCTACAGCTGTTGGCTCTGTGCTGCCACAATCTGTTTGTAGCTGTAGTTTTTATTACCTGCTTATCTGCAATGTTCCATTTTTATTACTGCCTCTGGCTGTGAAAAGAGACACGAAGAATTAACTTTGCTTGCCAGCTTGTTCTACTACACTCCTGCTATTTGTTTCTATGCACTCAAACAAGCATATCTATAAAAGCAGTGTGCATTTGTATGTGTGTATGTGTGCCATTGCCATGACCTTACATTTATCGTTTGACTACAGCACAACATTGTAGCAACGCTCTTGTATGGTATTCCCAACACCCATGCATGCTTTTTATGACCACACAAACCCACTCAAATAAATATATGAAACACACACTCACATTCAACAATGTATATATTTATGCTTAACGTAATTGTTGTTGTACTAAAGCTAATTTCTTACTTTTATTGCCTTATCCTTTGTCACCGGTGAATTGTGGTTAACGTTAACTGGGAGCAATACGAATTTGTTTGATGTTCCATCGCGCCATTCCCGCTACCAACCCCCATGGCCTGGTGTACTAAACTGCGTACATGCGCAAGTGTTTGCGTGAAGGTGCACTTGCGCTGATGAATCTCTGTATGAAATAAATTACAATGTGGCTTTTGTATAATTTCGTGTTTTCCACACAAGTAGACACTGGAGTGCATGTTGCTAAGCTTTCATTTGCTAATGTATTGAGCCTAACAAAGTATGGACTAGTAGGTAACAGCAAATGAAAAATTTCATTGTGATTTTCTTATGCTCTGCGGTGCTATGTCTTAGTATATTTCATTAATATAAATCTTATATATAAAGGAGCAACTTTATTTTATTTTATTTTACTTTTTTATTTTTAATTTTTTATTATATTTTGCAATAGTTTAATTAAATACTTTACTTTATTTTGTAATTTAGTTTAATTATATCGTTATTTTATTTTATTTAATTTTTTTTTTGTAATATATTTTAGTTTATTTTAATTATTTAGTAATTGTAATCAAGTTTAATTAAATCTTTATTTAATTTCACTTTATTTTAATTTATTTTATTTTATTTTATTTTGTTTTATTTTATTTTATTTTATTTTATTTTATTTTATTTTATTTTACTTTTTTTACTTTATTTTATTTGATTATTTAATTTATTTTATTTAATTAGTTAAATATAATATAATTTTTACATTATTTATTTTTTATTTTGTTTTAATTATTTAATTAATAATTCTATCTTTTTTCATGTGTTTTTTTAATAGGGTTGCCACCAATTCAAATAAAATAGAGATAGATAATTTTTGATGCCATTTTCATTAAAATAACTAGCACATTGAGCGAAATATGTGATATAAGGTAAACTGGAAGTTCGAAAATCTTTATATTATTCGATATTTTCGACAAAAAGACACGCTTGAAAGGAAATAATCGTTTTATCTCGATATATGTATTGACTAGTGCTTGATTTGTATTTTATATATATCACATAATAATGATTTCTTTCTTTTGCAAATAAAATAAAACTTATTCCAACAAAGCAAAGTATTTAAATTTTAATAAAGTTTAAACTGATCCATATATAAAAATAGATTTTGTGCTAAATAATTTATACATATATTCGAAGTTATCTTGTAATACCAAGTTTCCATCTATAAATTATTATAATTAGCACTAATTCTGCACAATCTCAATCTAGAAATCCATTAACTTAATTTCTTTTTCATTTGCCTTCTCTTGTCTGCTTGATATTACAGTTTTCCAAAATAAATGAATTATAACGGTAAGAGTACCCGCAACTTCTAAAATATCTTGCTACCCAGCAACCCACCGCTGAATACGTTGCAAATATTACAAGTTTTTTGCTATTCTCTAACTTAAAACTCACCTCCGTTCACAACCACAGCTGCATGACCAATACGAAAAAAAAAGTTCATCATACGCCGTGTGGTGCTGTTTTTCCAAGCAATCTGCTTTTAATTCGTTAATTAAGCTACAAGTGTCAATGGGGTGAAATTAAAAATACCAGCGCACAGCAAGTAGATGCAACCGCAGCCATAACCGCAACGGAACAATGTGGTATTTGTGTGTGTGTGTGTGTGTGCCATTTGCTGAGCTGAGCTTTCGGTTAGTGCGCACACCTTCGGTTCACACTACTTAATACGCGGGCATTTAAATGCAACGCTTTTAATACGTTAATTAATGAAAAGTGGCGGAAAATTAAAAGCGAAACATAGACTAAAGATTCTAACTCGATATTTGATGGACACAAACGATAAAATATACCTATTATGTTAGAGCTTAGCAAATAGAAGTGTGTATCTGAGAATGTGTTCGGTAAGATATACTAAAGATAGAGTAGAGATAGCGATTAGAGAAAGACATATAATCGAAAAAATGTCTGAAAATCATTTAGTTGAAAATTTATTATAAAATAAATTAAAAACAAACAAAATAGTTAACTTCGGTTGTATGGTAGCTATATGCCAAGGTGATTCCATCTGAATATATTGATTGGAGATTATACCGTTCTTTGGAATAAAGTCCATGCCAAATTTCGTAAAGATATCCTTGTTATGAAAAAAAGCTTTCCATATAAGAACTTGGTTTCCATCATGTCATTTTTATGACAGCTATATGCTATAGCCGTTCGATCTGAACAATTTCACCAGAGATTGTATCGTTGGCTTAGACAATAATCTGTGCTACATTTCGTGAAGATACCTAGTCAAATGAAAAAGTTTTCCATACAAGGACTTGATTCCAAGTGTTCAGTTTGTATGGCAGCTATATGCTATAATGGCAAATGGGCAGTTTCTTGGTGAGAAAAGGATATATGCAAAACTTATGATCATTATCTCAAAAAGTGAGAGACTAGTTCGCGTATATACAGACAGACGGACAGACAGACGAACATGGCTAAACCAACTCAGCTTATCATGCAGATCATTTATGTATATAGTTTATAGCCCTCCGGCGTTTCCTTCTGCGTGTAACAAACTTCGTGACACACTTAATATACAGTTTTAAGCTAATATTATGGAATGAGCATCAAAGTAAACAAGTGAAAGAAAAATTTCTCGAAGGTTATTTTTGAATTTGAACGTGCTTTGGGCAATAAATTGTATATGGAAACATTATAACATGAGTAGTTAACTGAAGTGGTTTAAAAATATTAAAATTAACAATTTTTGTTATACAATGTTGCCACCTGTTAAAAAAAAGTATTAAAAAATTTACTTAACAAGTACATTATTGAGATATAAGAAATTGATAAATATTAAAAAGGGTTTTTATATTTAAAAATATGTTTCTTTTAAACAACCAATTTCCCAATATACATAACTACAATATTAATATATCCACATAAAAAATGCATAGTAATACTTCTTCTATGATTGAAATAAACGTCTAATCCATGCATTTCTTTGTTTATTTAACTTTTCGCTGCATAAAAGCTAATCATTTGGAATAACATATCTTCAACAGATGTTCAATTCGAATACGACAACTTATTAATGCAACCTCTACCATTACCGGAAATTATAATCTCAATATGTTTACTACCGAAAGCCCTGGAGTTCAGCAAACTTTAAAACAAGCAAAGAATTCGACGGCAGACATATAAATATTTTCCCTACAAATTCGTGTATGTATGTATGTATGCTGGAAGAACACAAAAGTCATCACGAAAGTAAAGCTATGAACGCCAAAGTCAATGAAGTTTGATTTTCATGTTGACAATGAGCAAATAGATGCGCAACGAGCACATTCAGCTTGTGACAGACGTTTCTCATAAATGCATATACATACATACATACAGATATATCAATAACTACCAGTGAGCATATTTTTCTTAACGAACTGCAGACTTGCACAGCTTCACTCTGCATCACACTACTACGAATGGACGGCAGTGGCACTCAAGCTGTTACAGTGGACTGTCAACTGTAATGCTGTGTTCCTATATATATAAAGCATATATATATATTATACTTATTTACCATTTGTATGTTAGGTATTTGGCAGACTATAGCGAGTGCAGCAGCTCCTTGGCATTTGCATCGAATCACAAAGTTAGCTTTGTGGTAGCCGTTTGTGCTTTTTGCCAAAGCTAGCAAGCTATCATATCAAAGGCGACACAGGATAAGATCAAACAAGGAAGCAATCAAATGGAGAAGCTAATGTCAGCGTTTTGTGCATCGCTGAGCAAACAGTTAGTAGAAAATTGTGAGAAAAATGCAAATCGAAAGGCGAGCAATAGAAAAATATGATTCCTTGCTAGTGCAAATGAGTGTCCTGAACTAAATATGGCGCATAAAGTGAAGAAGCCATTCAGGTCCGGTTGGCAAATATTACATTGAAGAAGTTTGCAAGCACAAAACTTATTTTTCATATTATACACATATATTTTACATTTTGTATGCTAGAAACATAGTATCAAATAGATTTGTAGATTTAATTTGTTCATCAAAGGAAATATAAGTTTGTAGAAATGGTATAGTTAAGCTCATTTTTTCTTTTCTTGAATTCTACTATGATTGTGAGATCCATCCACTAATTCTCTATATATCATAACATCTACTATTTATGTTCTTTGGTCTAGTTATCTTCCTAGGCTAACTAGTTAGCCTGTGTTGAAATCAGAAGTCCATTAAAGTGAGTATCTTCCGGGTATGAAAAGTCGGATTCATTGAATTTATTGATACTTTCTTGGTAGAGAATATAGAAGAGCTCAGCTCCTGGCTCATCTTCAGCCTACTCTACTCTACTCTTTAATGAAATAAGTTGCTCATATTAGTCCAGAAAAATATTTTACTAGATATCATTTGCAATCCAGACCAAGTTCTGTAAAAACAAACTGTGATTTTGACGATCTTCTATTAAAAAATATAATAAGGCTATGGCAACACATTACAGCGTTACAAGTTTGATCTGATCACAAATCGAATTTTAGCATGCTAAAAACTACCAAGATTTTGGGTAGATATCAACTTAAATAAACGCTGCCATTTTGAAAAATTTTGAATTTTTTTGACCGCAGCTCATGGTACGGACAACATCTTCTAGTAAAATTTTGTGTTAGGCTTTATTCACGGAGAAAACCGAAAACACTTCTTCAGTTTTGATTTTATAAAACTTAATAACTTTGAAAAACAATCTTCATATTTCGCTAATTAACTTCTGTAGTAATTTCTTAATTCTAAAGCACTACTGCTCTCTTGCCCATCCTTAGCTATGAACACTTAACTAAAATGTACATTTCGGCAAAATCAAATTATGCTCATACAACAATTTTACGTTGCCAAAGCAAAGCTCATCGTCTTTCAATTACATTTTGACATCACACAGCATAAGAGACGAAAATACAGTTGTGTAGTCAAATCTACTCTTTCTCCTAGCTTACTTACACACAGTGAGTGATTACTTGTCGCTGTCAACTTTTACGAAAATTGGGTCAGCAGTGAAAGTTTGGCAAATTAACATACATACTATGTATATACTGACATTTCCATATTTAACGGGACAGAACTGGCAATTCAGAATTTATTGGCAACACTTCTGTGGGAAAGAAAGCTCCACACTCGCATCGGCCAACGTAAGTTGTGTTGGAAATTCACAATGATAAAAATTTAAGCTGAATGGAAAAATAAACTGGTTAGTAAGTGCATAAATATATTTATGTATTCATAAAATGGTTAACTAAAGAATTATTCATAGTAATAAAGTCCGACAGACGGATGTCAAATTCATGCAGCATTTTCATTACACAACTTTCATATGCTTTCACGTATTTACATACATCTATATGTACATATGTACCACATGTGATGGAAGGCTTATTAAATTATATGTATATGCATTTACATATATATATCTACTATATCCTTCAGGCATTATTGCTATAGTCGAAAGCTTGTGTTATGAGTGAAATGCAAATAATTGGAATTGCAGTTTCATTCGTGCGAATTCATCATGACTCTTTTGAAAAAAGTTAAGCTTCTTGCAATATTACATGTTAGTATGAATATATACTTGTATATATATATATATATATATTCTCTAGAGTCATACAAACGTTAATTTTATTTAGTGATACCGATTTTAATAACACCAAATATAATATAGCAAAGGAATAAGGATAACTGTCAGTGGTTGTGAAGAGAATTTAACGAAAAAAGCAAAAATATTGAAACTCTAAAAGTAAACAATAGCTCACGAAAAGCCTACAAAGAAATCACTAAAAATCCGTATAGGAGTAAGAGAAGAGCTCTGTTAATCCATATAATGAAGGGTTAACGAATAACCTACTAAAATATAAAATAAACTAACTAACTAGGTATATACATATTGGATAAAAGTTGGATCTTGCTATTGTATATTCTGACATGATATTTTTCATAAAAATTATTTACTTGTTTTTGAAACGTTTTATTTCTAAATCTTAGACCCAATTCGACGAAACTCGTACGGATATTTAAAGCATTGCAAAAATATTCAATTATTACAACTACATGCCAGAGTGTTAAAAAAAAATACCTTTCAAAAAAGCATACATAAATTTGAACTCGATATCTCAAATAGTTTTTGAGTAACAATTTTCTTAAAACTAGCCGGTCAATTCAATCAGCCTCATCAGTTTTTCAAAACTACGTTTTTCAAATTTGCTTAAATGATTTGTTGGAGACGAATGATCTGATCAAATTTTTTGTATATAGTTCTCCAAACAATGACCTATCAGTTATTTAATCTGATCAAAAATCGAATTTTTACCATCCAAAAACGACCAAAGCTGTGGGTAAATGCTAACCTTTTTTCTAAAAACATTTTATCAAACTATGATTTTTTTCGACCACAGGTTATTGTAAACATTACAGTTTTTTATAGGTCATATCTACGGAGAAGACCGGATTCACTGCAGCAGGTGTAGAAACTCAATGAAGATTCTTAAATGGCTTATCGCTGGTGGGGGACAGAAAAGACCTTCATTGGGCTGAGAAATACTTCATTCCGATTTTAATTTAATTTTTGAAGGCTTTTTATACAATTTTTAAAACAATCTTAACTAACTAAATACATGTGTATGGGAATATGTATGTTACTCATTGTTTATGTTACGTGATAAGGGTTCTTTTCGATGTACACAAGCAATTGCCTTAATGTATTTTTAGAACCAATTGGAAACAATGTGTACATATAAACATATGCATGTTCTTATCTTAAATCAATAGGTTTTTACTATCGACTATTGAATGGAATGCATGCGTATTTCATGTGTATTGCATGTTAATGCATTTTATGTAATTTTTTTATGTATATACTTGTATGTCTTTTACTTCCTTGGTATTGTCGAGCTAAAAAATAAACATGTTCAGAGATACTTAAACAGCAGGGGAGGCCTTTTCGTAGTATCGTCGGAGATTATGTCTTACCCGAAAAATATTTAATTATTTTTCTTCAAAAATTTTACTGTGTATTCTTAAAATATGTTTAAATATATATAAAAAATTTTAACCAATTGATGGAGTAGTTTTTTATTTTAATTGCCAAAACTCGTGTCGTTTCGGTTCTCATACTAGGTGTGCCCCCTTTGAGAAAATTTTTTAAACCTGATGTGCATGTTCCTTGGCAAAATATTAAGAACGAGTTCGTTGATAAGCGAAATCGGACCATTACCAAGCCCACAAAACGCTAGTAATTAAAAACATATATAGCTTCACAATAAGATACACGGCTGTTATTTAGTACAACGAATTGCATTAGCAATTAGCAAGAAACATATGGTTTCAAAAACTTTTTAAAAGTGGGCCTGGACCCGGCCTATAATAAGTTTAATGTACATATCTTCTAAACCATTCAAGCTATAATTACCAGGACAAATGTTTCTACCAAACCTAACCACCCTGTGGAAATAGAATTAAAAACGATAAAGTACGGTAAATCTACAACTAAATGCGCCAGAGACATACAATTTTGCACCTGAGATCTACTCGACCAATTCCAACGAAATTCAACAGGTAATATTATCCTGACATTTCTATATTGCAGTGCAAAAATAAGGGGATTTAGACAAAAACCACGCCTACTTTCTATATGACACAATTTTAAATTCCATCTGATTCTTAAATAATAAAAAATATCTATTCTCCAAAGCACGAAAAAATCAAACTTAACTTGAACGAAAAACATTTACCCTAATATTGTCAGTAAATAACCATTTTTAAAACTTTCCCACAAGAATTTGTATCGTAAGAACTTTTCACCTATATACAAACAATGGAAAACACAAATTGCTATCGACACTACATTTTACAACCTTTCACTTTTAACCCAGCAACAAATGCCCACATTTGCCAATAAACGCTAGAAGAGAAACTAGAAAAAGTGCGACGAACGATATTTCAAGAGACCAGCAAATTATTCGCCACTATTGTCAAATTGAGCCAATATCCCTTTTTGTATTTTTCCAAGCCACAGCAGAGCCTAGAAATAAGAGCCGAAAGCAAAGCACATACAATGCAGGTAAACAAGTCAGGGCAACAGCCGATGCAAACAAAATTGAAGCAAGGAGATGCATGCGTGTGGAACGGGCGAGAACGTGCCGAGCAAGTGTAGCGGGAAGAACCGGTTAGAATTGGTAAAGTTAAAATGGAAATCGTGCAGGATTTGGAAAACACAAAAAAAAATGCAAAAAATCTAACTATTTTCAAGCTACTCACCCTCCGCACCCCAATATCACAAATGCTATCAACAACAATGTGAGCTTTAAGAAGATCGATGCACACAAAGACTTAGAATGCAACACCATCATTTGAAATGGTCCCGATGGTTTTGAGGTCTACACAGCGACCACACTTCTTTTTTTTCGTGCAATAACAACAACAAAAGATGCGCTGAAGGAAAAAATGTTGTCTTAAAATAGAAGTCAAACGTGCGAGGTGCTAAAGTAGCCAAGTGCATTGAAAGTATTGATCCCGGGGGCAAAGCGAAGACAAAGAAGGCAAAAAGAGAGCATCGAAGCGAATACCGTAATAAAATAGGTGAAAATTGTGGAAATAAAAAAGAAAAAGGAAAGTTGTTAAGGTGTGTCTTAGCTTGGACAATAGCACGCTCTGTGCATACTAAGCACGTCCTAATAGAAATGTCGTCATAAAATAATAACTTAAAGGTTTAATAATTTTAAATTGGTGTCGTAAAGGTTTTTAGCTCATAAAGTTCTTGTATATTAGTATACAATTTAAGCCTTGATATAAAATAAAATAATAATAAAATATTAGCAGCTTGTTTTAACTATTACTTTTCTTAATAGTTGGCAACTCTATATATGGACTTTTTTCCACAAAACTTCTGTGGAATTTTACTCTCATACCAATCAATGATTATTATGTTTTACAGGTAACACTTTGTTATTAGTGATGATAATACTGATCTATTGCAACGAGATTTTGTAGCGCAACTAAATTCCATCACGCTCGCAGTACACAGAATATGTTTAATCA